TTTTCATGTCTATACATACAGCCAGTTCAGTTTAAGCAAAAAGTAAAGGTAATAATTATTAGCCTATGCAAGAAAACACAAATGTGAAAATACAGTATATTATGCACCGACAAAAAGATCTTAAAAACCCTGTAAACTTGAAAACAATGAAACATAATTCTGTTGTAAATGTAAATTTCTGCATTATAGCTGTATTAAAGGCAACACTACAATTTGCTTATTGTGTCCTTTATCCTCTGCTCTTTATTATGTACACATAATATTTACTTTTGCTTGCCCAAATGCATATATGTTGTCAGTGACTGCTTTTCTGAATGTTTGATTGATCGTAGTTGTTCTGTTTTTGTCTTGTCTTATGTGACTGGCAGAAACTGAATTGCCCTACAAGGATAAATGAAGTTGTTTGAATTGAACAACAAATCAAAAACATACATACAAGAGAACAAGACATTTTTCTAAATTAAACTGTGATCTAATCGTGCATATAGCACTTGTTTTAAAAATTAACCAGGGTGTAGTCACATTCCACTTCCTCATTCATATTTCTAGGCTCCATTTTATTTATCCAAGGTGCCAACCAGCAGTTAAAGGTTCAGTGTCTTGCTCAAGGCCAATTCGACACTCTCTCTAGAGGAGCCCGGGATGAAACTTACAATTACCAGACGTCCACTCTACTTCCAGAACCAGGGCTCGGCAGTGTTGACATAAATGTCCTCTTCTGTTGCTTTGGGCCCCTGCAATTAAAGAGAAAACATCTGTGGTAAAGATACTCTGCTAATTGGGTTTAATTACCTGAAGTAGAAAACTGCTTGACTCTAAATCTAAGTACCTCAATTCCCTCTCCACTGGTTACATGTTGGTTCACTGCAAGTGTGCTCTTAAGAAGGTAATGGCGAGTCTTCTGAGCCCTGGAAAATGCAATGGAACATTTAATGTACATGGGTATATTTGATTCATCTTTGTTTTTCCTCTTCTCATTTAATAAATTTATGAAACATCAAGTAAGAAAAATAGGAAACAAAATCTTATGGGAATGGATTCTACTGTAACTTTCATAACAAAACACTATAACAAAGGTGACTCATTAAGCGATTGCCTTACCTGATAACTAACAGCAGAGCACACACTACTACCAGTAGTATGACAACTATTGTGATGAAGACTGCCAACGTTACGAGGTCTGAAACATACAAGGGACAATGGAACTCTAAGATAAAGAAGTTATTCAGACAAGAGATACTTTTTCTGGTCAAAATGTAGACATAATTTAGCTAGGTGAGATATTACTTCAGGCCATACTAGCCACATAAAAAAATCATAGTCGTCTTTATCACTACTAACTAATATATCTTTTTCTTTTATCAAGAAAATATTTTAAAACCTCAGGTTGTCACAACAGGTACAGTATTTAGCACACTCAAGCACACACACTAAAGTTTGACAGATTCCTCAAAAATTTGTGTATGTGTGAGTGAGAAATTGAACAACAAACTACTAATGTAAGATGATGACAGGGGCACTAATGGTAAAGTTGCAGAGATGAGCAGTTTGTAAAGAGAAGTAACACTATTTGGTAGATAACTCTTCTATCTACTCACCCTGGCCATTTTATTGACAAGAACAACAGCGTTGTTAAAAATACAAATTTTAGATGGATGATGCTGATCCTGTGACCCAGGTAGACCGAGGTCCATTTTGACAAAAATCATCCTACTTGGGTACCGGTTACAGTGTATCTCCTCCCATGTTTAAAATGATTAGTGTGTCAGTAGAAATACATTTTTTGAGCAGTTCTTATTCAGATTTGAAAAAAGAGGAAATGCAGCAGTATGCATATGGATAGTCATTAGCTAAATAAATACACAAATAAATTGTTCAAGAAGTCCTGATAAAAACTTGTATTCAGCGCAAAGACAAACCATAAGGCTGAAGGATGTAGACATAAAATCGTTGAGTAGCAGATCCCAGAGAGTTGGAGCTGTGGCAGAGCAAGGTGGGAACACCCCTCCCCTGTGGGTCACTCACAATGATGAAGCTCCTCAGACTTGTGTCATTTACAGTCTCATTGCTGATTGCAAACTTGTCAGAGTTATTGACAGGAAACCCATCCAAATACCACTGTAAAGTGGGAGAGGGTTTTCCCACACTCTCACAGGAACAGTTAAACTGGCCGGCAGATTTGGTGCAATCAGATGAGGGCAGGATCTGTGGAGCAACTGTAATGAATGTAGAGAGGACAGACAAGTTAAGAGTCAAGTGAAGTCAGTCCGAGTTATAACAAATGAAATAATGGTAAATTATGTCACACTATTTTTCTAAAGCAAGTGCTGACACCATTTGGAACATCGAACTCCAAAGGAAAATTGTCTTTTTCTACTTTTGCGATGGGAATCCTATCCACTAATGCACAGGATAGGACTTGTTGCAGAATCAATGGAGAGAGAAAGAGAAATTTCTGCCTTTCACAAGCTGACTTGTTTTTATCATTGATCAACATCATCATCACTGTAGACTCCAGACAAAATTAACATTCACTTTAATTGTGCTTTACAACAGCTTACTTTCTTCTGCATTTCCACCTTCCGGTTGGTTTTGAGGCCCATGCTAATTAGCTTTATTTAATATTAGCATTGGCTAATGGAAATGCATAAACATTATTATAATAATAAAGGCTGCATTAAAGCTGGGGTAGGCAATTATTTTCAGAAGCATTGTTTGTTAGATTTTTTGAAATTCTTTACATTCTTTACATCCCGACAGCAATCAATAAATCAAATGCTCTGACACAAAATTAATAAAATCCGGCGTCACAGGATTGTAAGCATGGCCAATCATTTTGAGGTGCATTTTCTCCACTATACAGTGGATACGGAAAGTATTCAGACCCCTTTAAATTTTTCACTCTTTGTTTCATTGCAGCCATTTTCCAAAAATCAAAAAAGTTCATTTTATTTCTCAGTAATGTACACTCAGCACCCCATCTTGACAGAAAAAAACAGAAATGTAGAAATTTTTGCAAATTTATTAAAAAGAAAAACTGAAATATCACATGGTCATAAGTATTCAGACCCTTTGCTGTGACACTCATATTTAACTCAGGTGCTGTCTATTTCTTCTGATCATCCTTGAGATGGTTCTACACCTTCATTTGAGTCCAGCTGTGTTTGATTATACTGATTGGACTTGATTAGGAAAGCCACACACCTGTCTATATAAGACCTTACAGCTCACAGTGCATGTCAGAGCAAATGAGAATCATGAGGTCAAAGGAACTGCCTGAAGAGCTCAGAGACAGAATTGTGGCAAGGCACAGATCTGGCCAAGGTTACAAAAAAATTTCTGCTGCACTTAAGGTTCCTAAGAGCACAGTGGCCTCCATAATCCTCAAATGGAAGACGTTTGGGACAACCAGAACCCTTCCTAGAGCTGGCCGTCCGGCCAAACTGAGCTATCGTGGGAGAAGAGCCTCGGTGAGAGAGGTAAAGAAGAACCCAAAGGTCACTGTGGCTGAGCTCCAGAGATGCAGTCGGGAGATGGGAGAAAGTTGTAGTAAGTCAACCATCACTGCAGCAATCCACCAGTCGGGGCTTTATGGCAGAGTGGCCCGACGGAAGCCTCTCCTCAGTGCAAGACACATGAAAGCCCGCATGGAGTTTGCTAAAAAAACACCTGAAGGACTCCAAGATGGTGATAAATAAGATCCTCTGGTCTGATGAGACCAAGATAGAACTTTTTGGCCTTAATTCTAAGCGTTTGTGTGGAGAAAACCAGGCACTGCTCATCACCTGTCCAATACAGTCTCAACAGTGAAGCATGGTGGTGGCAGCATCATGCTGTGGGGGTGTTTTTCAGCTGCAGGGACAGGACGACTGGTTGCAGTCGAGGGAAAGATGAATGCGGCCAAGTACAGGGATATCCTGGACGAAAACCTTTTCCAGAGTGCTCTGGACCTCAGACTGGGCCGAAGGTTTACCTTCCAACAAGACAATGACCCTAAGCACACCGCTAAAATAACGAAGGAGTGGCTTCACAACAACTCCGTGGCTGTTCTTGAATGGCCCAGCCAGAGCCCTGACTTAAACCCAATTGAGCATCTCTGGAGAGACCTGAAAATGGCTGTCCACCAACGTTTACCATCCAACCTGACAGAATTGGAGAGGATCTGCAAGGAGGAATGGCAGAGGATACCCAAATCCAGATGTGAAAAACTTGTTGTATCTTTCCTAAAACGACTCATGGCTGTATTAGATCAAAAGGGTGCTTCTGCTAAATACTGAGCAAAGGGTCTGAATACTTATGACCATGTGATATTTCACATTTTCTTTTTTAATAAATTTGCAAAAATTTCTACATTTCTGTTTTTTTTCTGTCAAGATGGGGTGCTGAGTGTACATTACTGAGAAATAAAATGAACTCTTTTGATTTTTGGAAAATGGCTGCAATGAAACAAAGAGTGGAAAAATTTAAAGGGGTCTGAATACTTTCCGTACCCACTGTATTTATGAGCGTTGTTTATTTGCAAATTAGGAGTGATTGGAGAAATAAATAATTATGACTTTCAGCAGAGGACACATTAACTCACATAAAATATCAGCTGTTAATCTTGTGGTAACAGATGACTCAGTGCTGCCATCTTGTTTGTTGTATACAGCGGTACAGGAGATTTCTTGTCTGTGATGGAGGTGAGAGGCAGTGAAGGTCAGAACAGAGGTCTTGAATTTAGTTTTGTCCTGATTCTCCTGCAGTGTCTCATCAATGTCACCAAGGCTGGGGGTCCATGTCAGAGTTGGAGGATGAGACAGACAGGGAGCTGGAGCAGAACACGTCACATTCACTGAGGTTCCCTCCTTCACCTTCAGTGTGGACGGAGTCAGAGTCAGTCTGGGAGGACCATCTGGTGGGAAGGTACATTTTGACCAGTCAAAAAAATGTTTAATACTATTTTCAAAATGAAATAAATGCAAATCAAGGCAATTAATGACGGAAGTGTGAGTATTTACCTTTGATTGCAATTTCCAATTTTTGTTTAAGAAAACTATATTTTAGGGCATTATTGCATTCCAGTCTGAAGAAATATTTCTTGCTGTGTTCAGGTTGCATGTTATTCAGAGTTGTGGTGCAGTCTTTTCTTTTCAAGTCTCCTGTCAATTCTCCTTTTATTGTATTTTGTTGTGGAGCACTGCTATCAAACACAACAGTGTCTTGATCATTTTTCCATATTGCTTTACATGTGTTATCCAAGTTTGATTCATAGTTGTTCTCTATGTCAAAACAGCAGGGGATGGTCACACAGGATCCTCTCAGAACCTCTATAGTCTCCGGCACAGTGACCTCAAAGGGTTCACACAGGGCACCTGAAACACAACACACACATCTTTATCTGTTTAGTTACCTTGATAATATCTTTTACTTTAAATAAGGAGTCTTGTAGAAAGGTAATATGGTGCATTTCTACACTTTTATATTAACAAAGCAGTCAGACAGGATCACCCAGTTCATAGCATTAAAATCCTGATAATATATCAAGGCATCAGAAATGTAACAGTACGAAGGGGATAGTTCTTCAGTTTAGTTTTGTTCTTCAGTTTAGTTTTGATAATTGAGCATATTTGCATTGAGGTTGCTGTTTCCCAAAGTAAATGATTTGATATTTAGAAACCCTATTTCCAGAAAGGTTGGGATATTATCCAAAATACAATTAAAACTAAAATTTGTGATTTTCCTGTGAACAGATATTTAACTGACAAAAGTAGAAAGAAAATATTAGAATAGTTTACATAAAAATATATATTTATATGCTGTGCATCCCTGAGTCCAGGCTGAAAACAAGAGGAGATGCAGCCTTTGCGGTCAGGGCTCCAAGGCTCTGGAATGACCTGCCTGATGACATCAGGATGTCTGAGTCAGTATCTTCTTTTAAGTCTCGCCAGAAAACTGATATGCTAGCCCTCTTATTGTTTTAATTTCATTTTAATTTGTGCATGTTATGTCATGTTTTATTGTTTTCTTTTTTTAACTGTTATGATTTTAATGTTTATATCTTTCTGTGAAAGCACTTTGTACTCTGTTTGATAAGTGCTCAAGAAATATATATATATATATATATACACACAGTATATATAAAGACTATATTACACTGGTCAGTATTGAAAAAACTTTGTTGTACTTTTGTCAGTTAAATAAAGGGTTATGTTAATTAATCTGTTGATTACTTTAATCAATTGAAGAAATTGTGTGATCAATTAAATTATAATGTTTATGTTTATAATGAATTTCAGCAGAAGACACATTAACTCACATGAAATATCAATTGGGCTAACAGATGACTCAGTGCTGCCATCTTCTTTATTGTATACAGCGGTACAGGAGATTTCTTGTCTGTGATGGAGGTGAGAGGCAGTGAAGGTCAGAACAGAGGTCTTGAATTTAGTTTTGTCCTGATTCTCCTGCAGTGTCTCATCAATGTCACCAAGGCTGGGGGTCCATGTCAGAGTTGGAGGATGAGACAGACAGGGAGCTGGAGCAGAACACGTCACTTTCACTGAGGTTCCCTCCTTCACCTCCAGTGTGGACGGAGTCAGAGTCAGTCTGGGAGGACCATCTGGTGGGAAGGTACATTTTGACCAGTCAAAAAATGTTTAATACTATTTTCAAAATGAAATAAATGCAAATCAAGGCAATTAATGACGGAAGTGTGAGTATTTACCTTTGATTGCAATTTCCAACTTTTGTTTAAGAAAACTATATTTTAGGGCATTATTGCATTCCAGTCTGAAGAAATATTTCTTGCTGTGTTCAGGTTGCATGTTATTCAGAGTTGTGGTGCAGTCTTTTCTTGTCAAGTCTCCTGTCAATTCTCCTTTTATTGTATTTTGTTGTGGAGCACTGCTATCAAACACAACAGTGTCTTGATCATTTTTCCATATTGCTTTACATGTGTTATCCAAGTTTGATTCATAGTTGTTCTCTATGTCAAAAGAGCAGGGGATGGTCACACAGGATCCTCTCAGAACCTCTATAGTCTCCGGCACAGTGACCTCAAACTGTCCACACAGGGCACCTGAAACACAACACACACATCTTTATCTGTTTAGTTACCTTGATAATATCTTTTACTTTAAATAAGGAGTCTTGTAGAAAGGTAATATGGTGCATTTCTACACTTTTATATATTAACAAAGCAGTCAGACAGGATCACCCAGTTCATAGCATTAAAATCCTGATAATATATCAAGGCATCAGAAATGTAACAGTACGAAGGGGATAGTTCTTCAGTTTAGTTTTGTTCTTCAGTTTAGTTTTGATAATTGAGCATATTTGCATTGAGGTTGCTGTTTCCCAAAGTAAATGATTTGATATTTAGAAACCCTATTTCCAGAAAGGTTGGGATATTATCCAAAATACAATTAAAACTAAAATTTGTGATTTTCCTGTGAACAGATATTTAACTGACAAAAGTAGAAAGAAAATATTAGAATAGTTTACATAAAAATATATATTTATATGCTGTGCATCCCTGAGTCCAGGCTGAAAACAAGAGGAGATGCAGCCTTTGCGGTCAGGGCTCCAAGGCTCTGGAATGACCTGCCTGATGACATCAGGATGTCTGAGTCAGTATCTTCTTTTAAGTCTCGCCAGAAAACTGATATGCTAGCCCTCTTATTGTTTTAATTTCATTTTAATTTGTGCATGTTATGTCATGTTTTATTGTTTTCTTTTTTAACTGTTATGATTTTAATGTTTATATCTTTCTGTGAAAGCACTTTGTACTCTGTTTGATAAGTGCTCAAGAAATATATAATATATATATATATACACACAGTATATATAAAGACTATATTACACTGGTCAGTATTGAAAAAACTTTGTTGTACTTTTGTCAGTTAAATAAAGGGTTATGTTAATTAATCTGTTGATTACTTTAATCAATTGAAGAAATTGTGTGATCAATTAAATTATAATGTTTATGTTTATAATGAATTTCAGTAGAGGACACATTAACTCACATAAAATATCAGCTGTTAATCTTGTGGTAACAGATGACTCAGTGCTGCCATCTTGTTTGTTGTATACAGCGGTACAGGAGATTTCTTGTCTGTGATGGAGGTGAGAGGCAGTGAAGGTCAGAACAGAGGTCTTGAATTTAGTTTTGTCCTGATTCTCCTGCAGTGTCTCATCAATGTCACCAAGGCTGGGGGTCCATGTCAGAGTTGGAGGATGAGACAGACAGGGAGCTGGAGCAGAACACGTCACTTTCACTGAGGTTCCCTCCTTCACCTTCAGTGTGGACGGAGTCAGAGTCAGTCTGGGAGGACCATCTGGTGGGAAGGTACATTTTGACCAGTCAAAAAATGTTTAATACTATTTTCAAAATGAAATAAATGCAAATCAAGGCAATTAATGACGGAAGTGTGAGTATTTACCTTTGATTGCAATTTCCAATTTTTGTTCAAGAAAACTATATTTTAGGGCGTTATTGCATTCCAGTCTGAAGAAATATTTCTTGCTGTGTTCAGGTTGCATGTTATTCAGAGTTGTGGTGCAGTCTTTTCTTGTCAAGTCTCCTGTCAATTCTCCTTTTATTGTATTTTGTTGTGGAGCACTGCTATCAAACACAACAGTGTCTTGATCATTTTTCCATATTGCTTTACATGTGTTATCCAAGTTTGATTCATAGTTGTTCTCTATGTCAAAAGAGCAGGGGATGGTCACACAGGATCCTCTCAGAACCTGTATAGTCTCTGGCACAGTGACCTCAAACTGTCCACACAGGGCACCTGAAACACAAAAATAGATCTTTTATTAAGAACAAGTGAAGACTTTGCTTTACTCCACTGTATTTTATTTTTTGGTCACATTGCTAAAATATTAGCACTAAACCGTATTCACAAAAATTCATAATGACAACTGTAAACTTTCTGCTTTGTTCCCACATTGTTGTTTCTAGATGTTTAGATAAAAGGTTAAACAAATTTAATACCCATCAAATGAAAGTTCTGACACTGAAGCTCACTGTGGACTTCATCTACTGCTGTATTTATTACACACACTGTTGTACTGTGGTGTGAACGTAGCAGGGTTGGACTGAGACAAAAACATTTTTGGCAAAGACGGTCCACCAAAATATTATCTGGGGTATCAAAACTCTTCTTAAGAGAGGGCAGGAAACCCTAAACTGCCCCCCACACACGTAACCATGGCAACTGACCTCCCTCTTTGTTTAATTACCTCACATCAAAGGATATTCTCCTCTTCACACCCAGTTATAAATTGGTAAGAAACTCCAGGACACAGGAGGACAGCCCTGAACTCCTTTGTGTAAACAAAAGAGTACTGTCTCCTCAAGACTCAAAAATTACCTTGTTTAATTAAATAATCTTTTAGTTACTTAACTAGGTCTCCCCACTCCATTTTAGTTATGTTACCATGTTGTTGTTGTTGTTGGAAAAGAATCTAAATAAGTTAATTTTGCAGTGTTTTAATTTTCAGCAAGCATTCATTTTGGTGAATCAAAGCTATCGTCATGTAACCCGAGCTCCCCCGGGGACAAAATAAGTATTACATGCCATCGTCTGAAATGCAGTTTAATGTATAAATACCACTCTGTATTTACCGCTCCATAATCTGATGCCATTCGTGTAGCTTGCTTATATTCTCTAAGAACGTGAACAGCCAATACATCCAGAAAGCTAGTTAAGTGCCCCCCATCTGTGATTCCTATGAAATGCTAACCTTTTAGACATACTAAAAATTAAACAAAATACAAGCCCTCCCTCAGGGGAACAAACGACTACCCTCTGGGAACCACGCCCCAAAAGACAAAACAGCGACACACGTTCCTTCGGCACGCGCCCAGCGTGCCCCCTCTCCCGGCAACACACTAAGAACTTCGGCCCGGCGCAACGAAGCCTTTGCTCGTTTTCAAGCGACACACGCGAAGCGCAGCGACGTCGATTTTTTCCCCCGTTTCCAACAACTTTACTTGCTTTTTATTTTCTTTCGTTTGTTAAAAGTTATCAGAACGCTAAGTTACACTAGTTTAATTCAATCGACCAAACCTCTGACCCAAGCCAGGGTTGGAAAGGCCCCCACTGCGAGTTTCTTCAGTAAGCCGACAAAAGACAGACCTCCGGAGCAATTCCCTGGCAGAGAAAGCGACTGGCCGACGGCTTTAAGCTGTCCTAACCAAGAATGCACGGATCTCTGCCAGTATGAGGCCATTTAACAGCAACATTCAGGAAGACCAAAACCCTGCATTCTGTGATCAGTGATGTCTCATAGTTGTTAATAGATTATCTTTAACTCTTAAAACTCATAGCTTGCATTCATTAGTTGCCCGTATGAGTCAAATGCTCCCCACAATAGAAACCCACATTCTCATTGTTTAGTCATTGTTTATTTCTTGGATGTATTTTTAACACCGTTAAATCCACAATATAACAGGTCCGCGTCCTCACGATGAACGATTATCCAGATTGAAGCAGTTTTTGACCTTAAGTGTACTGACTAAATCCTAACATAGTCTAGTAACTGGTTGCTAATACAGCGGATTAAGTTTAGACGTGTGCCCGTGCAGCGTCTTAAATATCATACAGGGACTTCGGTAATGTTACTATTAACTAGCAAGTTTATTGTCCTCCATATCTCATACAGTGGCATTATCTTTGCTCGTAATACATGTAACCAACACCATCGTGCCTTGCTCACCCCCAGGCTAGACACTAGCACAGTCAAAAACTGTTTGCTTCCCAAATCAGCAACACCTGTGTCTGGGTTTCCTCTACGTAAATAACCCACACCTCCATGACTCGAGATCAGCTGAACTGCAAAGCACATACAGCCCCCTAGTGGCACAAGACAAGAATTACATAAAAGAATACAGAATGAAAATGGCTCATACAATTAGAATACTTAGCCACAGGTAATGTGTGTAATATTTCTGAGGATCTATCGACAGAAATGCAAAATACGATCCATAACTAAATTTTCAGTAGTGTGTAAAGACCTTATATAATAAACCATTATGTTTTCATAACCTTAAAATGAGCCATTTATCTGCATAACCGCGGGTCCCCGCCTTTCAATGGACGTCACCACGTTGCATCGTCATGTTTCTACAGTAGCTGAAAACGGGCAAACGCTTTTCTTCACTACGTTCTTCTTGTTCTACTTCTGGTATAATTCAGACAGTGTAGACGCTCATCACTTTGTTGAATACGTACGTTAGAAGAAGAAGAAGAAGTAGTAATAATTTACAGCAGGAGTTGTTAAATAAGTTTTGCATCGGAGCAACATTTTCAAGCATTAGATGGTGGATGATTGGTGACCTGTCCAGGGTGTACCCTGCCTATCGCCCGATGTCAGCTGGGATTGTATCAGCCCCCCCACAACCCTGTACGCAGGATAAGCGGTTGACGATGGATGGATGGATATTGACCTACACTGACATGTTGTTTGGTTAGCTCAGTTGGTAAGGCACAGGACTTGTAAAGGTTGAGTGTTTGATCCCACTCTGCGACAACTTTTTTCCCCCCTTTCTTCAGCAAATGGATTCTGCAGAAAAACATTTTTTAGATCACGGCATGAGCTGCACTGTTTTTGTTTCGGTGTTTGATCCACATCCATCAACCTAGCGACACTTTTGCATTTCCTCAGAATCTCCAGACAGAGTACATTTAGGGGAATTGCGTTCTCTGATGGCTCCTTCAGAGGTGTGTCAAGCAGGCAAGACTCTTTTATGTCATTCAGAATTTTCCAAAGTAAAAACTTAATTCAACTCCAAATACAGCATTGCAGTAAAAAAAGCTTCCCGTTGTCAATGTTTATATATACTTTATCTAATGTGTGGTTTATAATGGACTGTAGAGCAGAAACAGTGACAGTGTTACACACACTTTGCTTACATTTCCTATCTGTCAGTGGTCAAGTCACAGTAACATATTTCACAACCCTCACCACTAGATCCCACTAAATCTTACATACTGAACCTTTAAGACTGTATCAGAAACCTATGCTAGCTACAAAAGAATATATCAAATAGCTTATGCAGCGCTGTATGACAGTGAGTGATCACCAGCGGTAGGCGAAAGTCTAACTTTATAATAGCATTATGATTATATTATTATCATTGACTTTAATTAAAGTAATCATCATCATGGTCACTATGGCATGGCACACACCCTACCCAAGGGTCTCACTTTGTGCTGAAAAGTGGTGGGGACATTTAAGGGCTTAGATTAGTGGTGTGACAAAACACTTCACACGTCATGCCTCCTCCTCTGCCTGGCAGTGGCTACGGCTTTCCTATACTCCTTCACTTCTTCAAGTGTCTGTGCCTGCACTACGTTGGGTACTACAGCTGATGTTAAAACTACTGCAGACCGGTAGCAGACATATAGGTTATTTTCGTGGCGTCTGACTGAAGACTCTTTTTTTGGGCCCGCAACGCAAAAAACAGAGGCCACAGGGTGCAGGGGCCACTTCACAGTCCGTGGTCTATGGGCCAGTTAAATAAATAATTTACGTTACACCTGCTCCAAAGGCATTTGCCAGATTACCACTCTAATCCTAGTTATTAGATAGTTTTTATGGTCATTGAAATGAGAATGAAGATCAACTCACTTTGCAGCAGCCAGCCAATGAGAAGGAGATCCAGAGCTGCAGCCATGTTTGTGTCAGGAGAGGCAGCAACTCTGGAGACAATACAGAAGTTACATATGGATAAATGTTTTGCTGACCCTTTATTTCCTTTTCAAGGCAGCTATTTATCATTCATAGAAGGCAAGGGGACATTTTAAACAATGTCTCTTCGTTCTCTCCAGTTAAATATTCTTAGGACCCATTTTGTTTTCCTTGTATCTGCTTCCCCTTGGACATATTATCCATAAACATGGCATTTCTTTTCATATTTATGCTGATGACACACAAAAGTACTTGCCCATCAGATCCACAGACCCTGGAATGCTGAGTTCACTTACCAACTGCCTTTGTGAAGTTAAAAAATGGATGTCAAATAATTTCCTCCAGCTGAACTCAGACAAAACAGAAATCCGGATCCCAGCAGATGGCAAAACAAATACTGCCATCTGCTGGTTCCCTAGTAAATCACATTAAGCCTGTTGCAAAGAACCTTGGTATTTATGGAGGACTGATCCTGACAAATTCAGAAATAAATACACAAATATAATAAATAAAATAAAATAAATAAATGCTCAATAAATAAATAATAAGCATCCGATTAAATGCACAAAAAAATAAAGTAATAAATAAATGTAGGTAGTAATTAAATTATACAAGGAGACATAAATATATATCTATTTTAATTAGCTTCTTTACTTATTCACCTTTGTAATAATTTCCTTATTTATTTATTGTCCGTTATAATCTTCAACTTTATTTATTAATTACTTATTTTTTAAATGTATTTATTTATGTGTGTGTTTTAATATTTTTGTCTGTTTTATTCTTCCATTGCATTTTTTACCCTATTTATTTTCACCCATGGTATTTATTTCAGCCTGTCCTTTTTACATTTCTCTATGCATTTCTGCCTCATTATGCAAATGAGGAGGGGCTGTGTCTCAAGGGGTATATTTCTCTCCTATTGGTGGATCAGTCAGACGGGAGAGCTCTAGGCCTACTCTACCTGCACACATCAACAAGCTTGCTCCTCACACATTCAGATGGCTTCCTTCAGTGCGCTGAGGTGTTTAGCTCCTCTTTTTGAAGACCCTACCAGCCATGTCTTCCGCCTCTTTTCATGTGGATGCTATGACCTACAGAGTTTTCAATTAGCGACTTATACATACACAGAACTGCAGGGAAGTGAGCTGTTGTTTCTGACAGCCACATCAGTTAGCTGCAGCTAAATCTGGAGTGCACTCCTATTGGAGTATTTACGGTAAATGCTCCCACACGGAGCAGCTCGTTGCTCCCATAGATCCATAATAAAGGCCTTTATTATGGATATCTATGGTTGCTCCGCTGTTATCAGCTGCTGTTTCAACAAAAACGCCATTCAGGGTGAAAATTTAACCGTGGTGTTGTGTCGGGAGATGCAGTGACTTAACCAGTGGTGAGTAAGAAATATTAAGAATAATACATGTAATTTGTTAAGCTATGAGGAGAGTAAAAGTCCGCTAGTCGCTAGGCTAATTTATGTAGTGCTAACATCATATAGGCTAAAGCTCTTAAGCTAGTGGTGGTGACTAACAAATAAACTAATCTTAACAGTTACCATTAAGAAGAATTTTATGCTTCTGTTAAATGTGATTGCTATAGGCCGTGCTTTATGTGTGGTGGTGGAGTCACTTTAAAGTGAACTGCACGTAACCAGTCGAAATGATTTAATGTAGGCTAGTTACTGTACTTCTATGTCTTGCACAGAAAACACAGGAGGAGGCATGCGGAGAACATAACCATATTCGTCAGAGGAAAAGAAGGAGGAGAAGAAGAGCAACAATGAAAATAATCCAAAAACAATAAAATAAATTCCTTTTATATTTCCCTGCCTTGTTGTTTATGTGTAGATACAGAGGAAGAATGAGAGAACAGCACACATTTCATCGTTACTGTGTGTTAGAGCAAAATCTGTACAGCATCTAGTCTAATGAACAAGGCTTGTGTTATAGCTGACTTGGGCAGTGAAATGTTTAATTTTTTTATTAATGGGGTCATAGTTGTCCACAACTCAAAGCATAATTTAAGGAGAAATGTTTTATACCATCTCAAGAAGACTTCCAATCAGAAAGGTAGGAAGGTATTTCAAATGTACAACTGCAGTACTTAAATCTAAGTAAAGTCAGTATAATCCAATTAATCTTATTTTCATACTGTATATCCGTTGTGTAATTTGATAAATTATGTTGTATGTGGAATTTACCATACAGAATTGAATACAATGTGCACTCCAGATTTAGCTGCAGCTAGCTGACTGTGTGCTTCTCCCTATACTGCAGTTCTGTGTCCATGCACGCAGCAAACTGAAAACACTCAAAGCGTTCACATGAAAAGAGAAGGAAGACATGGCTGGTAGTGTCTTCAAACAGAGTTGCTAAACACCTCAGCACACTGAAGGAAGCCATCTGACTGTGTGAGGAGCAAGCTTGTTGATGTGTGCAGGTAGAGTAGGCCTAGAGCTCTCCCGTCTGACTGATCCACCAATAGGAGACCCAACGAAGGTTAAAGTCAAGGGCAACTGGACTTGGTTGAAGATACTGGAAGATGTTTCGTCCCTCATCCAAAGGACTTCTTCAGTTCTGACTGACTGGCAGGGAAACTCAGCTATTTAACCTCAGTGGGGTCGTTTGCCAGGGTCATCGATTCGATTCACACCACCCACTGGAGCACAAGCTAGTGGTCATGAGAACACTACACCACAGAGCGGAAAACATACCAACAAGCGCCCAAGCCAGAGAGAAGGAACAGAACCACCTGAAGGGGGCACTTACAGCCTGTGGATACCCTAAATGGACCTTTGTGAAAACAGCCACAAGATCCAAGATGAACAAAACTACAGGGGAGGAGGAAAAGAAGGTCAAACGCAACAACATTGTGATTCCATACGTGTCTGGAGTATCAGAGAAACTCAGCCAACAAACACAACATCCCCAAGAACACACTAAGACAGATACTGGTCCACCCCAAAGACTGCACACCCAAACACAAGAAAAGCAATCTAGTGTATGCAATCCAATGCAGTGAGGAATGCACAGACCTGTATATACTGAAGATTATAACGGACAATAAATAAATAAGGAAATTATTACAAAGGAGAATAAGTAAAGAAGCTAATTAAAATAGATATATACATTTATGTCTCTTTGTATAATTAATTACTACCTACATTTATTTATTTACTTTATTTTTTTGTGCATTAAATCAGATGCTTATTTATTTATTGAGCATTTATTTATTTCTGTATTTATTTCTGAATTTGTCAGAATCAGTCCTCCATAGCTGTCTGGTTTGATAGTAATTTAAATTTCGAGCAGCACACCACAAAGCTTGTTCAATCATGTTTTTATCAACTTAGAAATATAGTAAAAATTCAATCTATGTTAACTTTTAAGGACACCGAGACCATTTTACACGCCTTCATCTCTTCACGCCTGGATTATTGCAACAGCCTTTTCACTTGTTTAACCCAAAAATCTACTGATCGACTCCAGACTGTCCAGAACTCAGCTGCCAGGCTTTTAACCAGAACAAAGAAATATGACCACATTACTCCTATTTTAGCTTCATTACACTGGCTCCCAGTATGTTTTAGAATTGACAAAAAATTCTATTGATCACTTTTAAAGCTCTTCATGGCCTCTCGCCTTGTTATATTTCTGAACTTTTAGTCCCATACACACCAGCATGTACCTTGAGATCCTCGGGCAGAGGTCTGTTGTCTGTTCCAGAGTCTCGACTGAAAACTAAAGGGGACAGAGCGTTTGCTGTCAGGGCCCCGAGGCTCTGGAACAGCCTGCCCGAGGAAATCAGGTCGGCTGAGTCAGTGAACTTCTTAAAACATACTTTTATAGGAGAGTCTTTCCAGATCTTATTTGACTTTATTTTATTCTATTTTACTTATTTTATATTTATCTTAAACGTGTATTTTGGTCTTTTCAATGTTTTCTTGCTTGTATTGTTGTCTTTGCACTTGTTGAAGCACTTTGTAACTTGTTTTTGAAAAGTGCTCTACAAATAAAGATTATTATTATTATTTTACTGATAAAAATCAGTTTGTTGTGGTGGCAGCCCGGCTGACGGTGAGTGTCCTGTTTATTTTTTCCTACCGTTCTGTTTTCCCCTGTGTTTTGCCTGCCTCTCTGTGTCTCCTCCTCTCCCCCTGCGTGTGTTTTCCCTCTCTCTCTCCGCTCCTGAGCCCAGCTGATGATCCACTCCTGCACCTCATCAGCAATCTCCTCTGCCAGCAGTCACTCCCCAGGTTCACTCACCTCCGTCGTGTCGGCTGGGCTCGCCTACCTGCCCTATCCTCTTTGGCTTCCGCCACGGCGGCCTCCCTGCTCTTCCTTGTGCCTCGCAGTCAGCCTGCCACCACACTCCTCCACCGACTCCCCGGGTCAGTTCTCCCGTGCCTCTTCTCTTCCTCGGTCCCCCGTGCCACTTGGCTCCCTTGTCTCAGCCTCCTCTGCCCTACTAGCTCTTCGGTCCCCCTGGCCGTGTCCCCCGGTATCCACCACTCCGTCAGCCCTTTTTTTCCCCCTTAATAAAACCTGTTTAATCCTGAGTGTTGCGTTTGGGTCTTTCTGTCCTGACTCACAACCGTTACAAACAAGACATAAAAGATGAAAGAATGTCTTGTTGAAGCGAGCAAAAACAGACACACAGACTCAGCTGCACACAACATGATGGAAACTCATTTAAACTCCAACTGCAATTTTACAGTAATATTTTTATCAACTTGAGGTTAAAATTATCCATGCTCTCCACTGATACATTGGCATTAGTTTGCCTGCTGCTTTTCAGCAAAGGTTATTTGTGTTGTGTTGGGAGCAGGTCAGTTTGTGGCGTTTGTGGCGATCCGACCTGATTTCTTCACATTAGAAGCAGAATAATTGCTGTTCCAAGCAACAGAGAAATCAGGCCTGTGGTTCTTTTCTGAGGTTACAGCCCGTTGCCAAATAGGCAGTAAAAGTTTTATGTTAGTGAATATAAAAATAGAATTGTAGCTTTCTACTGACTCAGGAAATAACTATTGAATAAGTGTCAACGTTTTTAACATTTTTCCATCTTTTTTATCTGTACCTTTTGTTCTTTGATTTTAAATGTGTCATATAGAAGTTATGATGACTTACATTTTCTTCAGGTCTTGCGAGCAGATATAGAAGTGAAGTTCCTTTAAAGTTACAAGAATTGACTTGAAAATGAGGA